GTTACAAATCCACAAAGTGAGAAGAAAATTTTTCGTCTTTTTCAGCTCGTAGTTTTTGGTATGTAAAAATTATCAAACTCATATAAACTTAAAAAATGTGATAAGCTTTTAAAAGTAGAGATTTCAAGCTTTAAAACCCTTTTTTTAAATTTGAATTTCATTCATTATTGACGAAGATATTGTATATACAACTTTGAGCTAAAAAATACGCGATGACTTTTTACTACACCTAATATAAAATTCCAATACTTCTATTAACACGAAGAAGATGATATTGGAGTTTACCGACTTCAAGCGACGCATTGCAGTAAGAGGTAGGTAAGCAGTGATAATATAATTTTTAGAAAATTAAATATGAAATTTCACTAAAAGTTTGTTTCATTAAATTCTAATATTTATTTAATAGAATCAAACTATATTATAGGACGTGCGATTCCACATCGTCGGAGACGTCCCGTAGGTCGTCTTAGTTTAAGACGACCAGCTGCAGAAGCGCTCGGTGAAGTCGTACCAGCACGTGAGTTGGAAAATAATTAAAATTGATTAGAAATGAAATTAAAAATTAAATTATAAATTTCATCTATTAAAATATCAAATTTTCTAGGAAGAGCACGAATCGAGGCCCTGCGGAATATTCCGTGTAATAAGCGGAACATACCAGTGATCATATTATCATTCGGTAAGTCGAATTTTTAAAACATATCTCCCTATAAAATCAGTTTTCGTGCGATTAGAAATATAATATTAATGAAAAAATATAATTTTTGTTTCAGATAATGATTCGCACGATATTGCGATTCTTTGTGTGCCCAGCCCAGCTGAAGAACACCCTGATATTTCGCCACGAGATGAGTTTTAAATAGTTAGCAAACAAATCCCATACCAAGTTTATACAAATAATAACGAAATGTTATTTTACAGTGCGTGAAAATGAAGAAGAAGAAACTGTAGAACAAAATAAGAAGAAAGAAATTGCAGAGGAAGAGGACGAGAAGGAGATAGAGGAGAAAGAGGAGGAGAAGGAAGAAGGAGAGGGGAGAAGAGGAGGAGGAAAATAACAGTAATATAAATAGTAAAGAGCATATAACATAGTATATAACATAGTATGATCACATAACATAGAGCATATAAAATAGTAAAGAGCAAATAACAGTAATATCTCGGAAAACAGAGATATTTTTGAGGTAGAGGAAGAAGAAGAAGAAGAAGAAGAAAAAGAACAGACTCAAGAAGCTTTTGAGCAGGGAGAAGACACAGCTGAGAGAGAGAAGGAGGAGAAGGAGGAGAAACGGTACGAGGATGATGCTAAATAAAACTCCATTGAAGGTACAAAGGCAATTCAATAAGTTTTTAAGAAAAACATAGTAAAACACATTTTTTTTATTGATTCATTTTTATTTCTCAACATAGTCTCCTTTCAGCTCGATACACTTGATCCAAAGATTCTCCAACTTTTTCAAGCCGTCCGAATAATATGATTTGTCCAACCCTTCAAAATAAACCTCTGTTTCGACGATGAGCTGCTCACTGGTGGTGAATCTCTTTCCTCCGAACCATTTCTTCAAGTTTGGATGTCAAACTTTTGATCGAGGATGGGAGAATTATTTTTGACAATTACAAAAAGCTTACAAATTCTGAAAGATATCTAAACTTTTTTTCTAATCATATAGAACATAAAAGGGGAGTTGTAATTGGATTGTTAGACAGAATTTTATTCCTTTCCCATCCTAAATTCCATGATATCAATATCATTTCTCTAATCAAAACTCTTCAACAGAATGTTGAAATACCGATTGAAATTTTTATTTACAACGATTAGTAATAGGATAAAAATTCTGTCTTTAAAAAAGAATTTTGATTTAATTAAAGAACATAATGTCATTTCTAATTCGGACTCTTGTAATATTAATAAAAAATTTTTTACCATTCTTTACTTTAAAAAAACTTCTGAAAAATTCAAATTCTGTACAAGTAAATTGATTTTGATTTAGTATATAAATCAATAAATAGTATGAGCACGTTCATAAAAACTGGTAAAGACAAGATTAAAAAAGGAAAGCATTCTAAAGTTGTTTACAAAATTAATTGTCAGGATTGTAATCATTCTTATGTGGGTCAGACAAAAAGGAAGTTGAACACGCGACTGAAAGAACACATCAAAGATTTAAATAAACCTTCTAATTCCTTGTCTGTTATTTCGTGTCATAAACTGGACAATGATCACAAGATTGATTGGGAAAACTTCAGAATTCTTAATTCCGAACGTTCTTATTATAAAAGATTGGTTTCGGAGATGATACATATCAAACGGCAAGAAAATGGCTTAAATAAACAGAGTGAAATAGAACGTTTTCCTGAAATTTATCTCCCACTCATTGGAAATAGTTCCTTTCCCCACTCTTAATAATTCTCCTTTCACGTTTGTTTCCTCTCCTTTCCTCTCCTAATATAAATAGACTCCGGCTTGCTTTTTCATTATTGTCAAAAGTAATTTTTATTATCGTACCTAAGGTTTTTTAACATGTTCCGATTCGTACTGATGAGTTTTGTGCCATAAGATACGTGGTAAGTTTTGATACATCACAATTTCAAATTAATTTCCGCAAATTGTTATATAATAGTATGGATAATGTTAACAATAAGGGAAAAATTTTTTGTTTTTGTAATAGAACTTGGAAATTCCGTATCTTTACACGAAGCTTCTCATCTCTTCTTAAGAAAAATAGTAATCGCAACAGATTATTGTATCAGAAGATTATAACAGCTCTCCTGCCTTCTATTCATATTGTTATTTCATACCATAATCGAGAAGAAATTATTTTAACTTTTAAATTATGATCATTTCGGCTGTAATTATATGTACCTATTTTGCTTATTAATTCTCTATTATATCTCGTAGACCACACCCTTCTGATCCCACCAAACACAGAGCATCGTCTTTCTGCCAAAGCGATTCGGTCTTGCGGTCGATGCGATCCACTTTTCATCCCCACTAACGATACGATGCAAAAACGACTTCCTTTTGTATCGTGCAAGCAAAATTTCACATGTGTTTTTGCGTCTCTCCATCTGCCTGCCGTCCAACTCATGCGGTACCCATCTTTCGGTCTTCTGAATCTTTCCCATCTTTCGTAGGCGATTGGAAACAGCTTGTTAACTAACGCTCAATTGCTCTGCGAGTTGTTTTTGTGTTTGTGAAACATCTTCGATGCCAACCATGCTTGCAATTCCACATCTTCGTACCTTTTTGGCGGTTTTCCGTGTTCTTTGTCTGCAACATCAAAGTCACCACTTTTAAAACGCCGAAACCATCGTTCACACGTATCTTGCGATGGAGCATGTTCACCATAAGCTCCTCGAAGTAATCGGTATGATTCAGCAGCAGTTTTCTTCAAATGAAAACAAAAAATTAATGCTGTCCGCGAATGCTCTTTGTTTGGTATAAATTTCAACATATCGAAGCACACAACACTATGCAAATACAAATATCACAGCAACACAACACTATGCAAATACTTTTTTAATTTATCACTCGTGCGGGTCTGACACTTGTTGATGACACTTCAAAATGGCATAACAGTCAAATCTTTATACCACACACTGCATTGATGCGCCATCTGTTTTCTCAAATCCGCATTTCATACTTGTACACCTGGTAATTGTTTACAAATATCACAAGATATTACCTTGTTTATTTTAAAAACAACAAATCCAGCGATATATGCTACAATATCTTCAATGTAACTTTTATTTAAATTATAAAAAGCTATATGTAAGTCATAATCATGATCTTCATGTACATTTGGATTGTCTGTACACGAGTCAATGTTGTCATCATGAATGCTTATATCATCTAAATTTGTTGATTCTGCCGGTAATAGGTGCAAAAATGATGTGTTATCTTGTGCTAAACAATTTGCATACTTAGAATCATTAATTTGAGTATGTACTAATAGTTTCTTAAATGCTGCAATAAATTGCAAGCATGTAGGATTGTTATTATTTCCACAACGACTTCTCACTGCCGAAAAAAATAGTTCAAGATGATCATATGATAGTTTATAAGCCAATAAGTAATGAACGGAAGGATTTGGTACGATCCAAGTACGATCAAAGATGCCTATTACGCTATATAAAGAAATTATTATTCCAATAAATCCTATCTTACAATTACAGCGAATAATTAATTCACCGTTAACAGTCAATGATTTGATGTACGTTACAATATTCGCAATTTTGTTTCGAATGTCATGAATATTACAATCTGAAATAGACATTTTCTGTGGATCAGTATTAAATTTATTGCGTAAATTCAATCGAATGCTTCGTTTATGAGACAAAATTTTTCAGTACCCTTACTGTTTTTAAAATCTAGTAACTGCAAGTCATCACGTAAATATGCTAATGCTTTTGCAACACTGTTGCTAAGCGTTTGAGTTGCTAGAGAAACTTACATTTTTTCATTCTGCCAATTCAAATGTCGTCTAATTTTAGTTGCAGCATGCAAACGTGTTGTTCTTGAAATTGTACCAAAAAAAAAAAAATTTCTCCAGAAAAGACCACTTTATAATATTACCATCTCCGTCAACGATGACTTGCAGTTTTCCAAACAACAAGTTGCGTATCAATTTTAACATATGGCACGGATCCAAAAGTACAAAAATTTTTTTTTTAAATCGGATGTAAAAAATAAACTTGCAAATCGTTGTCAACGTTTAATTTCGCACCTAATTGTGTAGCCATTGTAAAGTGACTTCGCGGTCCATCGAAGGTGATGGAAGTGACTAAAACTCCGATTTCATGTAGAGATATTAATGTATCATTTACTATATTTGCTATAATTACTATTATATATTTCCATGCTACTCAATGAATTTATAAAATAATACGCAATTGAAACTTCCAGTGACCATTGATAACTATAAGTACAATAATACTGGCAGCTATTAGGCAAGCTTTAGATAAATCAATATCATTCATGTGTTTCTCATAAGTAATATATCCTACATAATCATTTATATATCATTCCACTTTTTTTTTAATCATTATGTCATCCATAATTAAGGAACACAGGATTACTTTATTCTTTTCGCGCGCAATTTTTGCTTTTTTTTTAAATTGTAGTGCAGGTTTACATATTCCAGGGTTACCATCCACATTGGTATACCAGGAACAAATCGTATTTTTATGAAGTAAAATCTTTAAAAACGTTTCTCATACATACTTGTGCTTTTGGAGAATAAAAATGTAAACACACAGCAAAGGTCTGTAATTCTGGAGGGAACGTGGTAAACATATAATGTTTGGATAGGAGTTTTTGGATAATAGATTTTACAACTGGAGCAGCCAACTGTAATATTTTCAAGGTATACAATTTATAATGTGATTTCCTCAATTTTGCGAGTTAAAGTTACATACCTATTCATAACAATGATTATAATTTTATAAGTATTAAAGGCGAGAACAAATAAAAGAAATAATACACGAAATTGAAACTCTATATGACATATTTACAACGATTATATCATAAGAAAATCTTGACAAAAAAATAATCTTCTAAGTATGTATAATATTCTAAGTATTATTATTAAATTATGACTTATAGTGATGCACCCTGTATAGGATAATCACAACATACGCATTTTAAGAAACATTTACGTTCATACGTTCTAAAGCTTCTTTAGAAATGAAATTATTGTCGTGTAAATGTTTATTTAACTCAGTTAAACTTTGCACTCGGTTTTTCAGTTTACATACTTGCAAATGTTGTATTTTCTTTGCCTGTT